GTCTCGCAAATCACTGTAGCATGTCCCATAATTATGACCGTGTACCAGACAAGAGTAAAAGTAGTAAATTAAATACTTACAATTTAGCAAGCAGCTGGGTGCAAACCACCTATTTCTGAATTATAAGAGCGGATATTTCCCTCATTAAATATCTTAGTTCGTGAACTCGTAAAAAAAGGCAAACTATATAATCTACCGATTACTCAACAAAGCTATATAAATATTTTATATTTGTCGTCTGCGTTAGGGTCAGGGAAGAACCGAGCTTCACTTTATAAAGCAGTCTCTTAACGTTGACAATGATTGACGACAACGACAAAAAGCTACTTGTATCTTTGTTATAAGAAGAAGTAGTAGGCTTTCTTGCAGTAAATTCACTCATGAACGCAAGCTCAATCGATGCTGAGAGGGACACAGCTCGTCTAATGGAAATGTAAAATTCTTATTTTATACTAATCAGTTCAAGTAATTAGTCGAGTCTTTTATATTCCACGTCCTTCATATTCCGAAGTGTAATAAATTAATAAAACACGACTAATAATCTTGTAGACGTGGTTTTCTTGGACAAAGAAATGGACCTGAGAAACTAGCAGTCGAAATTTCTATTTCGCATGCAGAGTTGGTGATCTTTGTTTCTTTGATTTTTACCGCTCACAGGGAAGCGGGTATGTGGTGAATCTCTCGATGCTCTGTCGAGACTACCATGAAAAGTGCTCGGACGAACTACATCCCTTGGCTCCGCCAGGTTTAACCTTCACGGCTAGGACCCGCCATGCACTTATATTGTAGCAGACAGCCCACATTCCCTCCGTATTCGATCGATGAGAAGTCAGTTTCACTCGAACAGCTTCTTCCCGCGAACCACTGCTCTGTGGAACAGACTCCCAACGGGATGTTTCCTCGATTATTACAATCTTAACCTTTTCAAGTCTAGGCTTAACAGTTATCTCCCCCTACTATCTGTATAAACTGTCTCTTAACGTCACTTTCTAACCCGATTGGCCCCCGGGCCTTGTACAGGGTGAACCTTACTGTATACCCCCCACCAAAAAAAAAAAAAAAAAAAATATTAAAAACATTTGATTTCAAACACACAAAAAAATCCTTTTCGCTTGTTTGGTCAACAAGCTAAACTCATAGAATGAGAGCGTAACGAATTTGATAATCACTAGATTGTTCTGAGATCATTTAAATTAAGTCACGCAAATATGTATATATACTAAGTGGAGATATGAAACATTATTGCCAAATCAAGCAGTTTTCTAATATTTTCTATAAATGAAAACCGGTTTTATCAAGTTGTGTTGTCTTCTTCATTGGTAAAGCGATTTCAAAATTGATTCTATGAGCATCTAAAATTTCACATTCAACAACTAATTTTTACCACTTTTGTACTATGATTAGATTACTTTCAGTTATTTAGTACCTTTTGCATTTTAATTAGTGGGCAACAATAAAATCACGCTAAAAGCATCTGCTGTTTTTCTTCACCAAATTTAAATATTTCGTTCCAATCAGTACTTAGTTGAATGGCTCCTGAAGTACATGCGATAATATAAGCTTGTGGTCTTGTACTGGAATATAAATATATTGCATATTTACGCAGCAACCTTTCTTTGATACAAGTTTTATTGAGGGACAGACAAGAAAAATCTTATAATTTTTTTATTAGGCTTTTCTAATGTTCTTATCGTTTTCCTTTTTGGAACGCAAATTGTCTAATGATTATTGCCCCAGGTGCTTTCGTAAATCTGTCAGAACAGTAAATATATATGTGTGTGTGCGTGTGTGTGTTCCATTGGGTGCACAACACAATTTTCAGGTGTTGAATTAAGACTCGATTCAGCAATTGACAATTGCGTTGTGCATGAAACTCCGAGTCGTGATACAGGTGAGGAAAAAAATGTATATTTATTAATATATAATTTATACCTCAGTTACATTGAGCACTATTTTATTAACGACAGTACTCAATATGCGATATATATATATATATATATAATATAACAAGGATAAACGCTTTCCGTAACACGTTGCTGTATCACGATTGACTCGTTGCCCAATTTGCTATTATCAGGTGTTCAATCCTTAATGAGATGTTGCGATGTAATCTTAAATTACACTAAATAAATAACTTGTCTATCACTGGTGCCCCCCACCAAAAAAAATTGATTTTAAATTCTTGACAGTAGTTTATTTTTAAATGGTTACCTTACCTCTGGTGGGTCGAGTTGAATATTATTATTATATGATAAGTTTGCGGAACAAACGAACTCAAAGATACAAAAATGAAAAGGTTCACACGTCTCTTCATAGGAACTAATTGTTACCTACCCACTATCACTACGTAGTCACAAGTATTGCGATATATTATACATTTTTAACCGGTGTCAGCGATTCTAAGAAGCCAAGTTAATTTTAAAGCTTATTTTGCTTCTATACGAAGCTAAATGGTGTAAAGGGCAGTTAGAAAGATGTTGGCCCAACTTTCCATGTGCAGAAAGCAAAAAATTCAGTTTCCGAAAATATTGGCTTGAACTCGAACAGTGAACACTAGCATTGATATGAAATACGCAGTAATTTTAGCCAACATAAGTTGTGATGGCAGCTTTTTAAATTCCCGAAATAACAAACGTTTTTAAACAGAAAAATAAAGCAGATAACAACAAAAGATCCGTTTGATTCCGAAAATAATTTAAAAGTCGAATAATATATTCTATGTTAAGATTATGCTTTTTTGTAAACGCGGTTTTATGCGTTTTAATAACTAAAAATGTTCAATATATTATCAAAATTAACCTCATAATATTTTTCACTAAAGAATTAAATTAATCATTTACAATTTTGCGTTTAATACGCAATATGAAAAGAAAAAAAAACAACAAAAAAAAACAAAAAAAAAAACAGTATTTTCGTGTTGAGCAAGAGTTGAATAAAGTCTTTGTCTTCTCAAATTGATCTGTTAAAAAAAAAAAACCCAAAAAACAAGATATTCAGAGCTTGCTTCCAACCTTCTAATGGAAAAAAAGAAAGAAAATTATGTGCGTGCGCAACAGATAATTGATCTTGTAGTCAAAACAAATGACAAAATAAGATTTTGCGCCACATCTTTATGATTAATGATTAAACTTTTTCAAACTTAATCCTGTCAAATACTTTTATTCAGCTGCCTCTCTCTGCGTGTGTGCGTAAAAGTAATTATTCAAATGCTAATGAATTGAAAATCTTCAATCCAAACTGGACAAATATAAAATTATAGATTTTGAGTAAGGTCATTATTTCACGAAGCACGACGACTAACCAGTAAAGACGAGCGATCTTATCAATTGCTTGCGAGATGAGATCACTTAGCTAATACCTGCTCTCCAACAAAAGCTTCTTGTCAACAAATTGACAAGTCGTACTGGATGTTTCAGTCAACCCCATCAATTGCATTGTAAACTAGAGATCAATATTGTAAGTTATTGATTACATATCACCTAACTGGAAAACAGCGATTGAAATATTAATATGCCAACAATAGAGATACCGAGGTGTGTAACTAGGTAGTCAATAGTTAGGATATTAGAATCGAGGAAATGTAGCCTAGTAAATTAACCAAGTATGTACCGTAATTGAATAACTAAGAAAACTATACTTAAAGTCTCTCCTACTATGTGGTGGTCAGTTTTATGCTTCTAGTAGTACTCACAGTTGATACTACAGTTACTCATTGCTGCTGCTGTAATGAATAAAGGCATCGTAGATTTTGCAAATAGTACGGTTTGAAAATTCTACTGGGCTTCTAGTAACAAGTAACCAACCTGATACTTCTAATTAAAACGTAAGAATGAACTGCTAATGTTCTCTCTTATGAATATTACCTGATAACCAGAAAGCTAACCGACTAAAAAAGAAAAAAAAGACAAAGAAACAGTCTTGAATAATTTGCAAACGAACAGTAAAAAGATAAATACTGCCGTGTGGATTATGGAAACATGACACTTGTAAAAATTAACATTGGAAGTCTTACTCTTCTTAATCAGGGTTTTTAGCATATTTTCTCAGCCTTGACAAATTCTGATTAATTAATAAATAATTAAAATATAATACATTTCCATACTTGCCAAAGAATTATCCGTATGTCGTCTATCATTTATTTTATTTTTTCATAATAAAAACAAATTATTTCTGGAATAATGACCAGGGACATTTCAAAGGAAGTAAGTAGTTTTTTCCGCTCTTTCAGATCAGTGTTAAAAAGACGGAAGTGGTAATTTGTATTGAGAAACAAATTTTCAAACATTCTGAAATCTAGTTAACTCACGTAGATGTTTTTCTTCATTTTAAACAAAAGACCACAAGTGTGTGTGTAGAGAGAGAGAGAGAGAAAAGACCAACAGTTTTTTCTTCTTTTCCACGCAACTAATCAAAAACGAGACATAATGTCGGCAACCTAAGTTCGCACGTGAAATACTGGCTCAGTCGTTGTCTGCAATGTGTACAACTATATTTTTTCTTTATGATTTACGTTACAAAATGTAATAATAAAGATAAGATCAATTTTTTTAAGACAAAACTAAAAGGAAAAAGAAGCAGTAGGTACACTATGGCCACGATTATTATCCAATATAAAATAAGAATCAACAAAGCATTTCGTTATTTTTTCATTCTACAACACACCGTTTCGCATATAATTTAAAAAGAGGTCTAATAATAATAAAATGAAAATCTATTAGAATTGAGGCGATGGTAGTAACTACAAGTGTGTTAGGTTCGTTCTTTTCCATAAACTAAAAAGTCATACAGAAAAAGAAGCATCGTGGCACAGGCACATGTATGTAGTTATAATACGCGCCTCTTCAACTCTCTGTAGTTATCCAATGGAAATCGGATATCAAACCAGACGTTTTTCTCCATAGCAGTAGTAGATGCTTGCCCGGCAACTGACTGTGCACTGTATAGACGCATGGTAAGTGTAGTATAGAAAAATGTAGATGTATACGTATATACACAAATAGCTACAAAAGAAGCTCAGGGATACATAGAGGAAGGGTTAAGTAAGTGAGAGAAAGAAGGAAAGAGTGAGGCGGGGAGACAAATGTCATTTGACAAGTGGTGGGCGAGAGAAAGAAAAAGTAATTATGTGAGAAAGAGTGTGAGAGTGATGGCAAGTGCGCGAAAGAGGAGGAGGGATGGAAAATATAATAATGGTAAAGAGGGAAGGAAAGTAAAAACGAATTGAGTCTTGATAATGAAATAGGAAAAAAATGAAGAATTGAGAGAGAAAGAGACAAAAGAGAAAGAAAGTAAAATAAAGAGAAGGGGGGTGTAGTAAGGATTCCTCTCTGACCGTTCTGGTGTGGACAATTTACCTTTCCCTAGAATATTGTTGCCTTAAAAAATCTTCAACGTAGGTAAGTGTTGCTTATTATTATTATCATCAAATCAGCTATTTCCGATTTTTAAGAAGTTGCAAAGAAAGAAAAACAAAAAAAAAAAAAAAAGAACCGGCTTCGTCTGTTGTTGAACTTAAAAATATGTTCTGACCATTATTAATCCAACCAAATGTAAAATGCATCTTCCCTGCCACTAACATGTTTCGGTACTACTACTAAAACGAGTCAGTAAGTTATAAGAAAAAAAAACGCAATGTTGGAGTATTGTACTAGAGACTAACTTACTATGATTGTCCAAATTGAAATTGTGTATTATTAGTTTACAACTCTCCTCCTTTCCGATCCAAACCTTATTATAAATAATGTAAATTTGCTCTGTCGATTACTAAATAAAACTGGCTTTTTATTTTATTTTTAAGCAGAATGTGTAGGTTTACTATTTTAAAATGTAATTATTACTACCATACACATGTGACACTTTTTTTTTCTTAGAAGGGTGTGTAATTTTTTTCTTTCGTGTGCAGGAAGCGGGTACTTGCTAAGGCTCGCCGTCTCTGTTTTTTTTTTTTTTTTTTATTAAATATAAAAAAAAAACACTCGCTCCATCGGCGATAAAGTAATTATTTATTTTACTTTTAATATTTTTAATGCAGTTTAAGAAACTGTCTGCACGGACTGGTTTCTTTATGATGATGAATATTAGCTTTAAAATGGCTCAACATTTAAAAAATATTGATTCCAATTATTCTTCGAATGCCTTGATCACCACCCAGCAACACATGTTGTTATTGTTTCGAAGCGGTCAGCAACCGCACGTAAAAGGAGAAAAAAAAAAAGCTCCGACATCTGTCTGTAACAATTGAACCCGCTACCAACCCATCAGTGTTTATCTTTTCAAATTAGTAAACTGAAAAATTTTATATTGTTTTGACATTTTCGATAATAGCGTTTCGGTTTAAGTTATTTTATTTTACGATAGAAGTAATTTTCATTTAACGTTGATGATGATTATCAATGTTTTGTCACTTACACAAAAAAGTGAATTAAAAAAAAAATTCAAACAGTTCCTATTCGTAAATTTGAGAAAATAAGCAATAATAACCAATAAATTATAAGTCAAAAAAAATCTAAACAACGAATCCAGTGTTGCTGCTTTGAATCATTTTGACTACCAATTAATTTAAGATTAGGCAAGTATTGCTGTTTCAGAACGTCTATTGATACCTAACAAAAATTTATTTAAAGAATTAAATGCAGTGTATATGTAGGTAGGTGTGTGTATCTCTCTATATATATATATATATATATATATATATATATATATATCGCCATCTTGCTTCTACGCAAAGGTCGAAGGTCACTAATAAACGTCGCAAATCTGATTGGTTGATTGCTTTTAGAAATAATCAACCCGATTGGTGTGGGTATTGTTCAAAATTAATTTTGGATTGTCTTATAATTTTAGTCTTTTCCATCTGTAACAATTTGAAATTGAATTTCATACCGATAACGCATAGAGCTAATTGGCCATTCATTCTTTAAATAAAGATTCATTTATTTTAGATAGAAGGAAAAAAAAACACATACACACAATTTTTTTTAAAACTTAATTGCAGAAACTTAAGTTAAAGATAATTGTGTGATACTGTTTTCACTCAGTATGTAAATTGTGTGGGTGGGGGAAGTACTATGAGCTTGGGTAACCCAGGAAACCGTGTCTCCTAATGAAACCCGTTGGATTGTATATGCTGTTAAGACTTATCAAATCAGTACCTTACAGTTGTCGAGGAGTTAAGTGCTTGGCAAACTTTATGGAAAACCTACAACCCTAGTTATCAAGCTATAGTAGTTCCTTTGTTAATCCCAAATATGTGTGTATACTGAAGTACACGCACTTCCATTTTTGCGTAACCTTTTTCACTTCTTTTTTTTTCAATTGTTGAGATAGTTGACAACTAACGCATTAAAATGTTATGTTCTTATGTATGAAAAATAAATACTTCGGGTTTTTAAGTGCTGCCTGTAAGAACAGGCTTCCGCTTGTCAGTCACATATTGCTGATTTATATGTTCAATTAAAAATTAACACCATGAATGAACGGTCATAACTTGAAAATTGAATATTCAATACACCCCAAAGTTTTTTTTGGGTTTTTTTGTGGAGGATTAGAATTTTTTTTCTTTTAAATCATTCATTTTAAATAATTAGTCTTTAATTTCTCGGTGCAAAGTTAACTTAAAATTTAAACCATCCATACCACAGCATTTAGGGAGTAGTGGAAAGTTTAATATTTTTCCACTTTATTTTTAACCTACTTTTCTTGGGTCAGTTTGTTTGGTATGATTAATTATTTATTAGAGATTAAAAAAAAAAAAAAATACAATCGTGTAAACTCAGTTAACAGTAGAGTAATACGTACCCGAGTAAGTCAAGAATTTATACCCCGAGTACTACTACAACACATTCGTTTGTTAGGTCTGTCTGTGTATGATTAGCAGTTATCAGTGTAGAGATGGGGCGATTTATATCCTGTCTTTGCCTCTTTTTTATTTTTATTTTTTTTTCATCTCGCAATTCTCTTTATGATTAGAAGAAGAATAAATAATTTACCGAGGTCTTCAAATGGTAAATTAAGGGTTGATAGCTACCGCTAACCGACATCCTGTTGAAAAAAAGAAAAAAAAGCAGAACCACTCTCATTCCAAACTTGTCGCCGGCTGCTGCACGCTTCATGTTTTTTTTTCCTTTCCTAATACAAAGAATCAACCTCTGACTATATAGCTCTTCTCCGAGGTAAAATATTTTCCCTTGTCCAAATTTTTATTCTGAATTAAATTTCAACATTTATTTATGGAATACTAAAAAAAACTTATGCATCACGGAAACCTTGATCTCGCTCTCTCTCTTTTGTGTGTGTTTGTCATCTTTTGTTTTCATTATAAAAATAAAATTGTCATCAGGAAATACAAAGAGACCCGCATGATAATTATTCAAATGAATGTTACTAAAAAACATAGCTGAAGAAGGTTGGGAATGTTACGTTCAGTGATTTATGTAATTGTTGCTTTTACTTTGTAAAATTACTCATAAAATAAATTGTAGCAATTTTTTTTTTTTTTTTTTTAGTTGTGTGTGTGTGTGTGTGTGGGGGGGTAACCTCGTGTTTTTCCTCATATCTTTGCTTGCTATATTATTGTAGAATACTTACCCAGTACCTGTTTAGACTTTTTTTGCAAAAGTAAAAAAACTAAGACTTTTTTTTTTTTTTTTTTTTTTTTTAAAAAAAAAAAAAAAAAAAAGTGTTTAAAACATTAAAAGGTACAGAGATCAAAGGAAGCTTCAAAATGTGAGTGAAACTACTAGTGTTGGGTTTGTTTGAGCAAGCTTAAAAACAAAAAAAAAATGTAACTTTCTCTTTTCACCTCTAAGTCTAATCATAATGGTTTTGTACCAATTGAACAGAAACGATTGAAGATTAAGTTTGGGGTGTGAGGTCACAATCCTAATCCAGATATTTAATTTTTTTTTTTTTTTTTTCTTTCTCCTCCTGATTCAACTTTGAGCTTTCAAACGGTAAGTGCCATCTTCGAGAAATTACTTTGCCTTTTAGCTTTAAAAAAAAAATCAATCACTTTTTTTTTCTTTTTCAGTACTTTGCTTTGAGGTATTAAAAAAATTCAGCCTTCTGATAAACTAAAGAATCTCTTTACAAGTCACAAGTTGGATATAATGACTAATTTCGTAACTCACGCACAAGTAGTTTTTTGCTTAGATTCATTGTCATGCTTCTTGTTGCAGAGTCAATAAAATTATTTTCAGTTTGTTTTACTTAATTTATGACAAACTCTTAATTAAAATAATTTCTTTGCGTTTTTTTGGACGTGACGTCACCACATTCCTTTTGGGACCACTTAACCTTAAGTTTTGCTTGCTATTTCTCAAAGACCGAATTTTTTTTCTTTCCCTAAAAATAACGTTAGACGGGTTGACTAACTTTATGGTGTCGAGTCCGAAAATTTTTAAATGATTTCTGTCAGAAATTACAGACACTCAAATCGTCAAATAAAAACATTACTTAATTCCTCTAGCCAGATTTAGCATAAAAACGGAAATCAATTAAAGTCGAAAATTTGATTTCAAACAAAATTGCTAATCTTTTACTTTAGCAGCCTTGACGGTCTTTTAGAAATAAAGAAACGTCGAATTTCCTAATAAACAGCTTTGTATTGCCAGTGATTTTCTCTTATTTCCAATGTTACAAGCTAGTTCTAAGGTTAAATATCATTTAAAGTTTATTTGTGTAGAGGCTTTTTTATATCTTAATTAATTGGGTTGCAAATTTTTGCAATAATATGGATATGCTCAATTTATTTACACAAAAGTTGTATAGTAGTTTACGTACTTCAACCCGTACAAAATCAAATATTTCCCTTTTTTTTCTCTCACTTGCAACAGGTTGTGGTGAAACTTGGTTTGTACTTAAGGCGTTTATTTTCTTTTTTTTTTTGAGTGGGGGAGAGCTACTTCGATTTCTTTTTATTACTATTCTACTTTTTATGGCGTCTTTGTGTAATTTTTTCCTTAAATTTATATATTCAAAAAACTTTTTTTTAATTTCTTACAGAAAAAAAACCTTAATTTTAAATTTAAACATATGTAATGTAACCAATTTAGAAATCATTTTTTAATTGCTTACGGACCTTAAATCACCACTTCTACCACTCCCACAAAAAAAAAAAAATCTGTAGCAAGAAAGTTACTTAGGAATTTCCGAATTTGACAGAAGAAAGCAAGATTTAATCGCCGGATAAATTTATGATAGCAGCAGCGAACCACCTTTCCTTCATCACTCCCCACCCCCTGTGTTTGAACGCAACTGGGAATTGTCCAAACAATTTGGGTTATATTACAATTTCTCTGTCAACCACCACTCTTTCCCAAATTAACAGTTTTACGACCTTTTTTGTATTAATAATTCATAA